CGTATTTGACACGGAACCCTTTGCAGCCATTGCAACTGAGGTAGTGGCGAGTGAGAGTTGCAGCACTTTGTTTTTTAAGAAAACGTGAACGAAACTTGCATACACAAGTTTCTAACGTATGTAAACTTTAAATTAAGTAATGTTAAAACAGACTGAAACATTTATCAAGTTTTACAGTTTGATTTTCACTTAAAAATCGCATTGTATCAAGCTTTCCTATGATGTTAGCATATCTTTCCGTGAAAAACGTCATAACAAAGTTTTAGAGATTTTCGTTTAACAACGTGCCAGCATGGCCGAGAAAATAGGGTGCTTAGCTTCTGAAGTAAGCACTGGTTCGAGCCCTACCATAGAAAACTTTTTTTTTTTAATTTTTTTTGATTATTTTAAAATAGAAAATACTTTTGAAGTTTTATAGAGTGTTTATAAAAACATATGTAACGATATTATACACTTAAATAAACGAAAAGATTTTAAAAAAAGATAATTTTTTTAAAAACATCAAAACACCGCGAGAAAAAAATTGTTGCGTATGCGTCACGATTGACATACTTATGTTAATAACGTGCTCAGGTAATTAATCCTAATAAGCTAGGGATGGTCTAAAAAAAAAGTTTTTTAAAACGTAATAAAAAAAAACTTACTAAAACAGAAAGTGCTGCAAAAAAAAAAAAAGCCAGTAGTTAGAAAAAATTTAAAAATTTCTTTTGACAATAAATTTTTTTTTTGCTACATTTATTTTTCAACAATAAAAATAAGCCGTTTTTCAAAACGCCTTAATATGCTTATTACGTATTTCGAGACAAACGCAGTTAAAAAAAAAATAATTAAATAGAGAAAGTCAAGCGCAAACAATATAAACTCTTTGTAAAATGTTTTTTAAAACAAATAAGTTTATTGAATTTTTTCAGAACTTTTTGAAAATACGTATTCAATTACGTTTGTAGACAAAACCAAAAAAACAAAGCTTATTTTGTAAAAAAGTCAAAAATGATTTTTTTTACCACCTTAAGGGGTGTGGAAAAACGGATGACACAACGAATATGTTGAAATGAGATAATTTGACGCAAAATTTAAAAGTTTAAATTTAAAAACAAAAGCCACTAAACCAAAAGAGTTAAAAGTAATTGCAGTTCAGGGCTTAAAAACTTTATTAAAGTGAAAAATTTTATTATATAAATATAGTAATTGTAGTTCAAAATTTTATTATAGTACTTAAAAATTTATTTATAGTACCATCTCTATGTAAACTATGTATATATAAACAAATGCAACGAAACCTTATATAAATCATTTTTTAATTTTGATATAAACTCATTTTTTTTTAAACTTAGTTGCGCTCAACCATCTCTATGTAAACTATCTATATATAAACAAATATGTTATTTGTTTTTACATATATTGTTTATAAAATGTCAAAAATCCACTTATATAACGTTTTATTCAGGATCGTATGTAATATAAGTGAACTTTTCTAATAATGATAATTCTTTTATGCTCAAGCTGCTGTGTTTTAATTTTTTTTAGTTATGTCATTATATTTAAATAAATTGTCAAGATTGAAAAAACACGAAACCTGTCAGTGGAAAATTTGAAACTTCAACTTTAGATTCGCTCCTCTCTTAATAATTTCTGATTGCTAAAATTATGTCATCAGCTTCTTAGACATTTAAAAATTATAGTCATAGAAATAAGATTTTGTTCAATTTTTTAAAAAAACTCTATTAAAGTCATATGAAATATATTTTTGTGGGATATATTCTAATAAAGTCAAAAAAAAATTATTTATTTCTCTTGTAATAAATACAATCTTTTATCCGTGAAAATAATATATTTGTACCAGTTTTATATATTTTTATGCATTTGTATGCAACATAATGAAAATTAATTTAAAAAATGTAAGATAAATGCAAAAGGAAACTTGACGCATAAATGTTTATTTTGCCACTAACTGACATCAATGCCCAAAATCTTTTTGGCTTAACTTTAATATAAGCGTTTAATATTATTCTTTATTTCTTATTCATAAGAATTAATTTTTTTATAACTTTGGTCTAGTGCTTCGATCTGCTTAGATCTTCTTAATTCCATTTCTATAGCATTACGTACAAACGTATGCAAGTGTAAACGTCTTTACCATATGTTGAGTTTGCAGGCACTATATGAAGTAATCGCGTATATCTATATATCTATAAAATGAGAAAACTTTAAAATTTCTAAATTTTTTTTAAAATTTAGATATCTTTGTTTTTATATTATTATTTTTTTTTGCTATGAATATATCAGTGAATATATTTGCAAGATTGAAAAAAATTCAAAATTCATTACGCTAAGAGGAGGTCTTAAACCCTCCAAAATGACACTAATAACAGCGCATTTAAGGTGGTCCACCCCAATTCAAATGATTTTCTTTAATAATGAGTTTATAATTTTCAAGTTAGTCTAATTAAGTTGTATTTTAATGAAAAGTAGTATTAAAAATATATATATATATATATATATATATATATATATATATATATATATATATATATATATATATATATATATATATATATATATATATATATATATATATATATATACTATAATTTGTCTCATTTATTCAACTTTTAACCTGTTTTAGTGTGTTATTTAAAAAAAAGATTTCGCAGGAAGTAAATAACCTTTTTTAATGCTTTTTGGTATTTCAGCTAATAATATGTTTACTCAGGTACCCTAGCAGTTTTATCTGTTTAACTGGAATATTTCAAAAGTTACAGGCATTGCTATAATGGTTCCTTTTTTTAACGCAAAGGCCTCACTCATTTAACAATGAGGCCTTTGCGTTAAAAAAAGGAACCATTATGGTTCAAAAAACAAATTCTTCCAATGTATTTTAAACAAACTCGGAAAATTTCAAAGAAAAAGAATAAACCAATCAGGAGATATCTTTTTTTAACTTTATTTAATTCGCTAAAAAAGCTAATATGGAGAAAATCACAATACAAAAATAAAATTTTATTTAAATAGCTCCAGATTCATAAAATGGAACTAGTTCTTCTTCTGCTTCTTTATCCAAGAACACTTTCTTAATTCCTCTTAACTTTTGCCTTCTAATTTTGCATTTACTGGTGGATTTATGATTTCCTTTTGATATGCGTAATGCATCGCGTAATTTAGAAGTATCATTCATAAACCGCCCAGTATTAACATCTAAAACTTCAAACACTTATAAAACTCCTTGAAAACCATTATTGAACAAAATAATAGCTGAATTTAAAGATAATTCTAAAGACCTTTTACCAACATATATATCCATGCCTAATATCAATAAACTTTTTGCCTTATTGACTTTAGCACAAGTTACAAAGACGAGTTCCCATTCGTTTTTGAACGTGACCAACACATTCTAGCTTCTCAATATTTATATCGCCATAAGGTTTTGAGGAAACAACACCAGAATATGAAGAGGTATCACCATCCCCAATATATGAAGTGTACCTTAAACTATACTTTATTAACGATCGAGAAAATAATATCACAGCCCCACAGGATTCCATCGTTTTAGATAACTTTTCATGTTTAGCATCACATACATGATTTAACTTCCAATGAAGATATCCAGGCTTAAGGGTTTTAGATTTCCAGTAAAAACAACCTCTGCATTTTTTTAAAAGAACAATGGCATCTAAGCACTTTCCATTCTCTTTTGAAATTATGGTTACAATACCATTTAGTCATTGATGCCCACGCTTTTGCAATGTACCATCAACAGATACCTGACAATTTATAGGTTCATTATGATCAGCACATAGAGCCATTCTGGTTTGACATAGTAGTACTTTGAATAGCAACAGTCTCATGCTTTGTATAATTTGTTAGTCAAATAGTTAATGTTTTTGGGAGTCATAGGAGGTGGCATATTCATGAATGCTGCAAAAGTACGCAAAGATTGATAACCTTTGCCAAGTTCTCTAAAAGCTACAATGGCATTAAAGTTCACAGAATGCTGCAACAGGTTTTCCAGGAGAGGTTAAGATTTGATTATAACATTGAAAAGATGTATTATAATTTTAAATAAATTTACATGCACCACACGATAACTGTAACTCGTATGAGAACCCAGTTTTATTTTGTAAATGTTCTTTAGTAACAGCTTTGCTTCATTCGAACAACACTCTAGACATATACAATCATTAAAATTGTTTTTAAAACTTTAAAACTTTTTATAATATTGTATTTATCCTCGTCAAGCTCGTTAAACTTTAAACTTTTTTTCACTTGCACTTCTTAATTTGTTTTCAACAAAGTTTTGGTTAAAACTATTAAGGCTTTTATTCTTAACATGTTGATTACCTCAAAATACTCTTCTTTTAATATATTTAGTAAATCTTAGCATTTTTGTGAAAGTACTTAAAATTTTTACTTCTCTTTAAAATAAAACTTTAAATGTATGTACTGCTTTCATACAAATGTATGTCTTGCCGTTTTCACTTTAAAATCACTTTACAGTAATTGCAACATCGTGATAGGGTTTTAAAATATAGCCAAAAATTAACAAAAATACATGCAGGACCTAACAGTTTAATTTTTTATATATTCATTGATTCCTGAGGTGCTATTTATAAAACTATCTTTAAAAAACGGTTGCTAAGGGCGTTGTTAGGTAACTAAAATCTATCTATCCTATTAAAAAGATAAATTACACCTACTAATATACAAATTTAACCAATAAAAGTGCTCCAATTATGTTCTACAATGTCTGAAATTTAAAAAAATCACAAAAAAAAAACTCAAAAAAATGTAAAAATTGCTTTTTTAATTGGGGTGGACCACCTTAAGCACTGAGCTATCAATGAAATGCATTTAGCAGAAAAAAAACCTAATCATAAGTCTCTTATAAGCTCTACGTATGCGAAAAAAGTGCGCATCTTAAGTTTTTTGCTCTTACATTTTTTTTCAAAATAAATTATTTTACTAAAAAACATTGAAGTAAATAGGGAATAGGTATAGAAATAATGGGCGAGGAACAAATATGTCAATTGGTAAAGATCTGTATTTTACGGATCCGGAAAGTTAGAATATATAAGGAAAAAGTATAAAAAAGTTCGGTGTTGAATAGATATACAAAGACCCGTATTTTTACTGGTCCGATCTCAGCTAGTTGTAAATATTTACTTGAAAGTGCATTTGAATTCCTCGAGGCCAGCACTTACTTATAAATAATAAAGTTTGATCTTTCATTTCAAACGTTCAAAATATATTTCATTGACAAAATGTGTCAGTATCAAATGGTACCTCATTCAAAACTTTATATTTTATGACATTTAATTATATAATTTTATTGTTTCATGTATAAAAAACTATATGCAGTATAATATGAATAAAAAATCTGTTTATTTATAAATATTGTCAAAATTGTAATTAGTTTTGTTATTTTTTCCCTAACTAAAAGTACAATACTAAGAGAATTTATAAAAAATATTTAATTAAATAATAATCATTTATATTTATAACAAGTCAACAAATACAAACATTCAAGCAGATTATTAGTTAATGAAGTTAATTATATTTAAGTAATCAGTTAGCCTAATATTATTTAATTTAAGTAAAAAAACAATTTCCAAAACTTACACTTGGTTTTCGTGTTAAGATACTTTTCAGTGGGCACGCGTCTAACGAAGGTCGTTTGTAAGACGTCTCCGGGACGTCCAGACGTCAGGGTTAGGGATGCCCTAACCCTAACCCTAATGTTTTTACGCATTTATGCGTTTTTGCGTAAGAACAAAACACAATCTTTTTTATGCTTACATGTAAAATTGAAATCTAAAAACATATAGGTTGCAGGTTCATAATAGAGATAAAAATTTAACAAGAAAAAAACTTGTAAACAAAATAAGACTCCAAATCATGTTTCTAGTGTGAACTACTTTCATTTTTTCACAAACCAAAATTGATTGTTTTTTCAGTAAAACTTCTACACTTTTTAGATTTCCACTTCAAGGATGAACTAAACATTGCCTAATTGAACAAAAACTTTCCAAATGTTACTTGTTTTGTCAAGCAACAAATTAAGGGAGTTTGTCAAAAAGTTTTTAGAATTTTTCATTGAATTTTTGTAACTACCCTAATATACAATTTATTTATCACTTTTACTTGTGGCAATTTGAAAAAACAAATTATCTTTTATCAAAGTTTTTAATTAGAATTTAGTCTTAATTTGTTGATATTGATGATACTGATTTTTTAATAGTCTTAAATTTGATTATTTTTCCATTTTTTATTTTTTACTTATTTATTTTCTAATAAAAAGAAAGTCTTATTAAAATTTTTAACAAGTAATAAATTGAGTGTGAATTTGTTTATATTTTACAAAACCACAATTTTCGACGATAAAAGAAGTTTTTCTTCTCGTGCCGGCCATTTTTTGAAACCTTGGCCATCTGTATGCATTCTAAATTATCTATTGTGTTTATATATTTTTACTGCATTAAAATTTTTTTTAATGATTGCCTGCAAATTTATAAGGGTTTCAATCAGGATTGACTTGGGCTTTTATAAATAAAAGACTGTGATAAAAATTTGTTAGAAGAACTATAAATAAAAATGTCTTTATAATTTCTCAAAAAGCCATATAATGCTGCGGAGTTACAACTGTTTGAATTTTCACGGGAAATTAATTTGGCTTTTTCGTAATATATACTTTCAAGTGTATTTAACAAACTATTTTGAAAAGTTTAATAAAAGAAAATGTTGCCATAATGTAATGTCTTCTTAATTGCTATGAAAAGACATATTTTCTTTATGGAGAATTTAAATAAGTTCATCGGTAAAAATTTGAAAATTGTAATAAAGTACTCATAAATACTAAATCATATTTATTGGCTTTAGATATTTCACATTTGAAATTATGTTTTGAGTTAACGTGGTTAAAATTAGTTTTTTTGCACAAAATATTAAAATTTTTATACTAACGTAGATTATTTATTGAAGTTCGGATAGTAAAACTTTATTTTAAAGTTATTGTAATTTAGTAGATATTAATATTTTGGTAAGAATATACTGATTAAAATTATTAATAATTTTATCATGCCAAAGAATTTTTTTTACTTCTAGTATAAAATTAAATGTTGAAAATATGCTCTTCCTTTTAATTTTTAAATTTCATTCAATATTTCTACGTCGTAAATACCGCATTTTTGTTCATGTTTATCTAATTTTTCATGTATGGTTGTGGCAAAGGTGACGTCAATTCAGTTCTTTGTTTTACATTAACACAGATATCAATAAACAGCTTTTTAAAATTGCCACTCAAAACAAAAGCAAAAAGATTTTAAAAATTAATATACCTCCATCTAATTGACTAAAAAATGTTGTAACAATTTAAAGAAAATTAAAAAAAAAAAAAGTTTAAAAAAATTTTAAAGTAAAGAATTGTATTGCAGTTGTAAGTTTAAACATATTTATAGTGAAGAAATACATTGTTTCCTTTTTTTTCACTAATATAATACTTCTTAAATACCTTTTATTATATAAAAATGTTGTATTTCATGTAATTATCATTACAGTATTAGATTATAGTGAATAACATAATGACTGATTTGCAATGAGAAAATTTGCACTTGTATCAAGAAAATATGAAATTCTGCATATGTAAAAAATTATCAATTTTACATTAAAAAAAATGTTGTTTTTAATTTCAGTAGCTAAAATTACATAAATAAACATTAACTTATCTAAATAGGCAAGATCTAGATTGCGTAATAAATAATAAATACTAATTTTATTTTGTATTATCTTGCTTTTATTTTGCAACATATAAAAATAACTTATATATGAAATAAGATTAATTTAAAGTAATAGTATTTAATTTTTATTTCTTTATATAACGTTTTAATTTTTTTTAATACTGCGTTTTTATTTCTTATTATTATGTTTTAATTTTAGATATTGATTTCACTGCACTTCGTTGGATCTATAGAAACGTTTATAAGTAAGAGAATTACTTTTAATTAGAACTTTATTTAAGCTAAAGTTTGCTTTTATTTTTTTAAACAAATTATAAAGAAATAGGAATATTGAAAGAGAAAACACTGAGAATAATTGTTTTTAATTCTCTAATAAAGCACAGTTATTTTAATTACAACTATTCTTCTTATACTTTTTCAATGCATTTGTTAAAGTTTTTTATTTTAATATGATTTTGTACTAATCAATTGTCTGTTTTTTTTAGTTTTAAATAATGTATACGCATTTGAAACAAAATATGAAAACGATTATGATGACAATTGCAATTTGTACAATTCGGATAACACTGGTCCAACTTATGATTTTCCAATATTTTTAAAAGTCGTCAAAGGTTAAAATTTAAAAAAAGTTGTGCCTATCTAATAAATTAAAAATTATGATAATGCGATAATTTACTTTGTATATTTTAACTAATTAGGACTAAATGGCTTCAATAATACAGTATCATTTCAATCTCCAATATATGGAACATATTTGCGTCACAAAAGTTTTAAGATTTACATGGATTACCAATCCTCCGGATCATTTAACGACGATGCCTCATTTATATTTCAAAAATCTAATTATCATGAAAACTTTACAGCAATTCAATCTTTTAATTATCCAAGTATGCATATCTTAAATTGCAATCATCGTTTATATATAGTTAATGAAAACATAACGGAAGACCATGAAATTCGTATTAGTTTTAAAATATCAGGTAACATTAATTTACTTTGCTGAATGCAAACAAAATTAATATGTACAACTTGTTGTAAGTTTCAGGAATTTTTGTAAAAAAGACTATGGTTCATTCCAGCCCACATACAAAATAAAGGGTATGGACGCCAAAACCCTATTCCTTCAACAAAAATTTATTTTTATACGCATTCTTTAAATGTGAATAGATAATTATAATAAGTCAAGTCAAAAAATACCAAAGGACAACCAAATTTTTATAAAAACAATATTTTAGATAACTCAGTTGGGTAAAAAGGGAAAATAGAGGTTTCTCTAGATTGCATAACTTTTGTCTATGTTACATAAGTTACTATTATTCTACTCCCAGTAAAATCTGGTGCCTCAACAAACGTCAATTTGTTATGATGGGGTTTTTTTGCCCTTTTTTGTTGTCGGTGCTTACCAACATCATAGCTTCTCAATCAAATTTGTTAAAACTTGATTTAGCCTCTTGAATGACAATAGACTATAAGAAAATTAAAATAGATTATGTATTTTATACTATACAGCTATAAACCAATCACTATAATCATAGTAGTTTGAACGGATTAAAGCATATTATGATCATTTGTGAACCTTTCCATAACTGTAATTCAGATTACAAAGTTTTTTTGTAATTATCTCCTAGGTTCTGCAATTGTGTTCAATTGAAGCATTTTACCATTATGCAGCTCCCTTTAATTTTATAAGGCTCACTTTAATTTTAATTTTATATATAAAAGTTAGTAGGAACCTAAAAAACTGATTTTAGCTAACATACTTAGTAGTTACAAAAGACATTCTAGCGATGCTTTATAGAGATAAAAAGTTTACCAAGCTGTTTATGACCTTTCTTAAAAGACTAAGCGGCTGCGACATCATCCAGGTTCAAGGAAAGGCTGGTCTAAGCCACCTGTTATTAAATGTATAAATGTAATTAAACTGTAACAACAAAAAAAGGTTGTGATAAATGCCACTTAACGCAACATACTTTATATCACTTTTTCATTTTTTTATTGTTTAACAAAATTAAAATTAGTTTCAGAACAGCATTCACTTCAATTAGCAAAAGTACAGATTGCATCATTTTATTCAGCAGAATGTTTGTGGTTACTTTTGGCTTTATAAGCAACTTTACATTTACAATGGCGATGTTCCAATTTGAATATTAAAATTTTCTGGAAATCGAAAAATATTACTGGCAACTGAAGAATGGTTAACAGATGAGTCTAAAAAATTAAAAAGGATTAAGATTTCAACAAGTAAAAAGTAGATACCGGTGGAAAAACGACGTCAATTTAACGTTGGGTTTATGTTGGATTATGTTAACCTACATAAAAAAAAAAAAGAATTGTTGATTTAAACAAAAGTTATATTTTGTTCAACTTTGGCTTCACTAACCTAATTTTTATCGGAATTACAACCTTATAATAACTATTTTAACAAATATTCCATATATTTTTGACTAATTTTTGTTTGTAATTCGACAAATTAAATATTTTTCTTACTAAAGTTCAAACTATTTTTTTGAACAACAGATTTTTTGAACATTTTAT